TATTTCCAAAAAGAGAATAGAATGTCCTTGATGTTAAATCTTTATTTTCAAAAAGAAAAATAAGTGCATTTATATAACCTATATCATGCCCTTATATATACATATATCACCATGACTATCCAGGGAAACAATATATATATATAAATAGTGGAAAAGAAAAGAGAAAAAGAAAAAGAAAATAACAATAGAGAATAACAAAATATGATATCTGTGAGGTAGCCCGTAACAAGTCCAAACTCTGTACTCTTTATAACGAAGGAGTTCTTTCAATTTTCTTCGACAGTAGGAAAACAAGCCAGAAATTCGATCTAGTTAGGCATATCATGCTGAGATTTTTACCACAAGTCTTTTTCATTAGGGTCGATTGTTCCTGAACATTTTGTTGAGAAATTAATGCTGAGAGGATTTTAATATATTATTATAAAACAAGTATAATATATAATCAGAATTCATTGTTATTATTAGTAAAACTTGACAATTATCATTTGAAATATTATTCAAATGTAGTAAAATTCATCAATTTTTTCTTTCTAATTTCTTATACCTAAAACGTTTTATTTATTGTTTATTAAGTCGAAAAAAAGTGAGAATTATTTATTTGGCTAATGATCTAATCTGACATGCTAACTGATCGATATGGAAACCAATTAAAAAACCTTCATAGAAACTAATAACAATTTAGAATATATTTCTTACTTATCATATGAATTTATCTTATGTTGAATTTAGTGTATCAAATAATAACTAGTCGTTGGTTTTTGTTTTGATATTTTTTCGACATTTTCATTTCATAAGTATTTAGTTTCATAGTTCTATAATTTAATATATTAGCTATCGCATTTTAATAAAATCGTTTAAATTTCATGAATAATTAAATTAATTGAGAATTCTATTTAGATTTCTCATTATTTGCTTATTTTAAATTGAAAACATCATTTTGAGATCTTTAAGCTACAGCTTCTAATATAGCATCAGATACAAAGGAAATGGGATAAATGTTGACTCTTATGACTCAGCAATAGGGAGTTGCTGAAAGAAAATCAATATTGACAAGAAGATAGGAAACACTTTCATTATTCGAATCATATGTAAATTATTTTTGTTTTATATTCATAAACAAAACAGTGTAACAACAAAATGAAGTCTCTTCAATAAAAATTTTCTGAAAAGAGTATTTTTTCATCAGTGGATAAGAAACTTTCTCGTCAGTGCAATAGTATACAACTTGTATTTGTCAAAGAATCGTAAGGTAGATGAAACGAGAAATGAGAAAACATTAGTACAAGAAAATTTTGATCTCAAGTCAAAAAATCAAACGTAGGATAAAATTAAATCGTACCAAAAGTCATATTCTCAAACTCTTATATCGAATGGTAACAGAAAATACCCGAAACATCTTACTTTTCTGCAAGATAGTACAATACGATTATAGAAAAATCTTATGATATGATCAAACTTGACAATAATCTTTTAGAGCGAATCGATGTAAAATTTCTGAAATCAGAAATCTTTTTTGTACGATTTCATCTGATCTTCCAAGATCATATGTCTACTTTTTTAATTTGAGTAGACGACAATTAATTCTGATAAATGATACTTTTACAAAATTGTTTTCAAAAGATCTTTTCAATGAATCTCCAAACATAGAATCAACCTTTGTTTTACATCATGTCTTTGACGAGTTCGTATGAAAATTATATATATATTGGCAAAATATTTCTCTTTCTTTTAGTCTCATTTTATTTCCGAATGTCTTACAAATTGTTCCCAAGAGGAATAATATTCTATTAACTGATTCAAAATATATCTTTCAAAACGTACTTATCATAAAGATATGGGATCAACATTTCGTGCCTCTTTTTGAATCTTACGAAAGGTGCAACTTTATTTTAACGGTACTTATCCTTTTTGTTATATTATTTATCAACTTGTGATAAAAATATATCACATTTAGTTTGAAAAAGAAACAATTCTATCTTCCAATAAAATTTCGATTAGAGAGAAATAATCGAAAATTAAAAATTTTTTATTGATGACAATCATAATGAATAAATCAATTTAGAAAAAAATAATGTTTGATGCTCATATTATGATTAAAAATTATTAAGAAACTATTGAAAATTTTCTTTTTCTTTACTGTATCGAGTATTTATTTTATAACACAATTATGTTACAATAACTAATTTTATTCAAATTCGATTATCTAACAAATTGATTCAACTTTTTCATCTATTTAAAAATCTCTTATTGACATTATTCAATTGTAAAAATAAACATCATTTTCAAAAATCTTTGCCAACATTATTAACCTATACTCGTGCAAGATATTTATATAGATTACTGATCAATTTCTATTTAGAAAATATTGAAAAGTGGTCAATACATGTTGCTTGTATTTTTATTAACACTTATAAATTAGTATTAGACAGATTATCTTTTTTTATGACCTATTTTAGCGATTTATATGTTGAAATAAGACAAATCATAAACTTTCAATTTGACTCAAAATTAATAATACAGATAAGTTTTATTCAAAAAAAGAAAAACCATATTGTTCGAATGGTGAAAAAAAAGAGTTTTACTTCGTTTATAATTCTCATAATTATTCATCGCTCTTATGATATACTTGTTATCGACCTATATTTAGATTTTGTTTTGATCAGTTTGCAATTAAAATCATTAATCATTTTCTTGAAAATTAGTGTAACTTTCAGTTAGTATATATTTCAATAGACTTTTTTTTATATATTTAGCTTACGCATTTTATGCTACCATGATTCCGCAAACCTAACAAATTTGCTAATCTATTAACATTTCATTGGAAATACACCAGATGAGCTTGTCAAATATATGAATATGACCCTATGAAATAATTATAAAATCTCGAAACTTCTAACATCATTATTTAGTCAATGAAGGGTGTGAGTGTGACACTTCGTTAGATGAATACCCACATTCTGCTCTTTCGAATGGTGAAAACCCCAGGTAGATATCTTGCACCTAGCGGAAGTTATTCAAAGAATGACCAGGTACCATTTATTTTGAAACGGACAATAGATATACCTAAATGGATAATTCAATTCTGTTCGTCTAGGATAAGTTGTATCAACAGTCGATACATATTACTTCTTAATTCTTGATTTCATATAAGACTATCTAGAACCTTGATTTAAAAAAGTTCTTCGAGGCAAATTACGATTATATACGTACTCGTCACTCCTTTCGGTAGTTAACTACAATAGTTGGTTAAACGAAGGAAAAATATCTTGTAAAATATTTCATAAATTAATAGATCATTAAGTTGTATACACAACGATCTAAATACTCAATTGATCTTTTGGTTTATTCACTGGTATTCACATGAATGAACTTATGTATTTTCAATGTAAAGACTGTTCACAGACTTTGTCGTTTATATCAGTTACAAATGTAAACAATTCGTCAGTAGATATATATTAATTTACCAAAATAAGCTTAATATAATTACTACTGATATTCATTTTCTGATCAATTGCTATAATTCATGACTAATATCTCGATAAATATTTAACATCATTCATTAATAAAAAATATTGTAAAAAGTCTAAATCGCTTTTCTATTATTATTTTTATTTCCATTTACAGCGAATAACCTCACGATTTATGATATAAGAAGAGATTAATAACGTGTTACAAAACGAAATCATCAGTGTGTGAAATGAATCGAATTGATGCTACTTTTCTCTCAGTATACCTTAGTCGAAATTAAAGGTTATTATTGATAAAATAGGAACAAGTTTATCCAAAACAATATAGATAGAAATGATGCGTTGGCTTATTTAAAATATCTTCTTGTTTAATAATTATTTTGAAGAAATTATCAAATCAAATAATCACTATTAAACACAAGAATTAGAATGTGACTGAGGATCAGTATGTATTTATACTACACACGTAAGCTATCGAGGAAAAAAAAGCATCGATGTTCATCGATGAGTTCAGTGAATTATTTATCGATGATATTTTTTTGTTTCTGACGAGGTCATTTATTCATTCTATTCAATAAACATAATTGATAGAACTAAATACCAATGAATATGAATCAGTCAAATGCCACATTTCTTGATCTACCTAATGAAATATTATTTAACATATTGATGAGATTTGACTTTATGGATGTTCTCTATTCATTATTGGATATTGAAAATCAGCAACTTAATATGATAGTAAAAGACCAAAAGTTTACTACAAGTCTCAATTTTGTATTGACAATGATAACTAATAATATATTGTTAATTGATGATTGTAAACTTGATCGATTCCGTATAAATACTTTGTCAAAAATTGCTCTTAATATTAAATCTCTTATTGTTGAATCGGAATCTATGGAATATATTCTTCTTGCTGCTGATTATCCTAATCTGGTTGTACTTAAATTCTTCAATTTCAATAACAAAATTGCTTCAAAATATTTTACAGGTAAAGCATTCTTCCACTAATATGAACACAGAGTTTGATAGACACGTTGTATATTCTACATGGTATTTAATTATTTCTCTTAATTTAGTCAAGTCACCATTTCACAAGATACTTGAAAAACAAATTCGAGATCTTATGTACACAAATATATAGTTAAATTCTTCAAAAATCTAAAACATTTATCTTTTACTAGATCATGTGTACTTTTATCATTTCGTAATTTACCTTTGACAGCTTACTCTTCTTCTTCAACTATTTACAAATTATCTATTTGTGTAAATCGTTTTTGAAAATTGTAGTACTTTACTTGATAGTCGTATCAAACAGTTAACTATGTTTGTTGTTAGAATTTCTGATGAGAATTATCAATAATCAATTGTTTATAATATGGTAAATTACTTTATAAATATATTAATTTTTCAAATTCGAACAAAATAATATTGGTGATAATATTAATTTAATCTTATAATAGATTTTTTTCATGTAAATTAATATTCATTTAACCTAACTATACGCTAAATATTTATAAAATCGTGATGATCTATTTGATGAACAAATATAGCAAATTTCATGTCGAGGGCGTAGGTATGTGGGATGTGGGCATAGATGTGAGAAAAGTCTGAACCGTTTCTTCACGCCGATACCCAACACCCACACCCCAAAAAACAAGTAATGCTTGAATCGACGAAAAAAGAAGGTTTATCAATTTAAAAAATCGTTAATCAAGACAAATTGTACCCAATAAACCTTGGAATAAACCAAAACAAATCTCAAATAACTAAATATTCTTTTCCTTTTTTTTAGATTGATTATTTCTTAGAAACAAAGCCTTAATTAAATTCACAATTAAATAAACTTCATCATCATGGTGATAGTCGACCATCTGTTAAAGGACAACGTCTCGATTTATTAAAAATTATTAAAGAAATTGATAAAGTTGGTCATGCTGGTGATGATCAACAACATTCAGAAACCATTCGTTCTTGTTTAATATTAAATGATTTATGTGAAAAACATAAAACAACATGATGTTAGTATGAAATTTAAATGAGCAATACTTTATTATCGATAAAAGATAAATTCTTTTGATTCAAAAAAACAAAACAAAGAATGTTATTTTTAGTCTTTTCCCTTATCGTATATCATCAATAGAAGATCATCGACATAATCAAATTGTTCCAGTTCGTCTTCATCGTGCACAAAATGATGAACATTTTGCAACAGCAACTATTCGTTATATGAAAGATTTTGCATCATTTTTTGGAAATGGTTGTGTATTTTATTTATGACAAGATGATAAATATAGAATTCTCCTTAATATACTAGTAGCTCATATTTAGTTATCAATGTTAATGCATTTGGATCATCATATATATTAACTCGATCACGATTGAACAGTCACATCAAGACATAAACTTACACCAAGTGTTTATACAGCATATGTTTTATCTGAAGATGATGATTTAGGTTATTCAGGTTAAACATATATTGTGACATGTTCAGATAAATATGATCAATCAAATGCTAAATCACATGCAGTGAATTTTGATCGTCTTTTTAATTTGAAAAAGTTGCACACAATGGAACAGCACAAGTAAAGCCAGTTGTTCTTTTTTACTGTTGATGGTGGTACAGATGAAAATCCACCTTCTCCAAAAACGCTTATTGCTAGTCTAAGAAAATTTAAGAAGTATTATTTAGATAGACTTTTTGTTCTTACACATGCGTAAGTTTTGTTATTTAAAAAATTTCCAAAAATAACATTTAACCTGTTATTAATCGTAGTCAATTAACGTATTATAGTGTTGAAGATCGTATGGCTGGGTGTGGGTGTGGGGTGTGGGGTGTGGATGTGGGTGTGGGTGAGTGTGGGTGTGAGTGTGGGGTGTGGGTGTGGGTGTGAGTGTGGATGTGGGTATGGGGTGTAGGTGTGAGTGTGGGGTGTGGGTGTGAGGTGTGGGTGTGAGTGTGGGGTAGTGGCGGCGCCACAGGTGGGCGGAGATGGGCTGAGCCCACCCTAAAATTCCTTCAGCCCACCCTCAATATTTGTAAGTTGCAGCAAAAGATGGCTTCCAGGGTGGGCTCAATTACAGTGAGCCCACCCACATTTGAGCTAGAGGGGGCTAAGCCCACCCTAGTAAAAACTCCTGGCGCCGCCGCTAGTGTGGGGTATGGGTGTGAGTGTGGGGTGTGAGGTGTGGGTATGAGTTCATCTTCTCTCAACCTACACCCACATCGCACACCCACACCCTACATCCCACACCCCACACCCACACCCCACATCCACACCCACCCATACCCACACTCACACCCACACCCTCCATATACGATTCCTTTAATTTTGTTCCTTTAAGTGTATATGACGATACTAGATCTCATAGTTCCTATGACGAATACGATGCGCTCAACAACATCGCATCATTTCAGTGGAGGGTCAGCGACGTTTGCGCCGCGTTACTTGTGTATTTAGAAAACAATTGTTTAACATCAAGTTCTTAATTTAGCTGCTAAACTTTATCTTATGAATCCTAAACAAACACAATTACTTGTTCAATATGTATTTAATTTAGCTAAATATGATACTAATTATGATACACGTGATAAAGCAAGGCTTCTTCGGTAAAGATAAGAATTTAATTGATTAAATATTCAATGGTCCTTTTTTTTAAACAGAACTTTATTTTTTCACTCAGAAAAATCTCCATCAGTAAGTAGAAATGCAAAAAAGATTTTATTAACACCTAAATCAGCACCAATACTCGAATCAATTCTTCGAGGTTAATTGATTAATTTTGAAATTTTTATTTTCTTTTTCTTTTCCTCTTGTTTATTAGGTCAAGAACAGTATACAATAGGTATATTATCATATGTTATTGTTCAAAAAGCTGCAAGTTATCAAGATTTATCGGATTTTCCAGTTGAACCACCAGATCCAACTGTTCGAAATGTTGAAATTATCCGTCCACCAACATCACCACATGAACAATTAAGAAATCTTGTGCAAATGCTGGAATAGCAGCAGGAGGAAAAAAGAAAAATCGCACAGACGAAGAATTTTATTCAGATGAAGAAGGAGAATTCGAAGAAGAGGAAGAAGAAGAAAAACCAACAGATAATATAAATGAGACAGATGAATATGAACAATTAGATACTCTTTTACCAAATATTATTGATAATCAACCTGAGAGTAGCGAAGAAGAATTAAGTGACGAAGAGGGAAAAGAAGAAGTAATAATGCTTTGCTTTCTTACAAGATCTAACTTTTCATTTTTAGCCAGCATAAAAACAAGTTTCAACAGTTGGTAAATCTCCTCCAACAATCGGTGTTAGTAATTATCTCATTCCCTCCACAGAGAAATCACTTTTAGAAAGGATTGTAAGTCTCTCACTCCCTCTTCTCAAACCTATATTATCTATTCTTTAATTCAGTGAAATCATTTCTTGGTGCAACTTCAACATCAACACCAACTATTCAACAAACAAATAAAACAAATACATTAGATGATTTAAATAGTTTACAATCATCACCTGTTAATTATTATCAACAATATGATTGTTTTAATCGTATAACAGGTCAAGGTTCACAAATTCAGTATCATTTTTCAGGTACATCATTTCGACTTGCACCAAATATGGTTCATGTTGAATTAATTTCTACAAATACAACAACAAATCGAGATATTTATTCAATTAAATTCTTAAAATCCGTATGTTTTCATAGCTTTTGTAGAAAAACAAATATTTGTTTTTTTTCTTAAATAGAAATCCGATGTGAATATCGAAGAATTTAATGAAATCGATATATTACCAAGCGATGCAACAATAATATCATCAATTGGTGTTGATTTTAATAATAAAACTTAACCAGCTTTATTTGATATATCATTTGATGGTAAACAATTGTCAAGTCCATTATCAATATTATGTCATGTTGGTGAATTAATTGAACAAAAACTTTTAAGTGAACAAGAATTTAATCAAAATTTAGGTAGAAGAAAAACCATCTCATTTCTTATTAATGGAAGTATTTTTGTTTAGCTCGTCTTCGTGGTATGAACGAAATAATTGATAGTGTTAAATTAAGTGAAATACAAAAAAACAATTAAATTTCACAACAATTCAAACTAAAATTCTTCAATCTGCTAATATTTTATCGGGACGATCAAATTTTGGTGATTCAACAATATATCGGTAAGTAATTAACAAAGGGGATCGTTCGAAGTGATTCATCGCTTTTGAATTCATCGCATTGCCCATAAGTAGAGTACCTGTGGACTAGAAGAGACCAAAAAGGATATCAGCCCATATGGCGATTTAGCTGAGATATAGAGGTTTTACGGAAATTTTCTTGTAGAACCTGGACTTTCGAAATTTGACCTGAAACTGTACATGTATGAAATCTTCACTAGACTAGTTTCTATGAAAAATTTCAGAAGTTTTCGACATAATATTACTGAAATATGAATATTTCAAAATATAGACGCTTCTTCATAGATATTCTAGAAAACAAGAGTATTTTGTCAAGTCATATCTCAGCGGCACTATGTCAAAACCTTTTGAAATTTTCCATAAAAACTAGTCTGGTGAAGATCTTCGTATAGGTACAGCCTCAGGTCAAAATTCGGAAAGCAAGGTTCTACAGGAAAATTTCTGTAAAACTTCCATATCTCAGCTGAATCACAACATGAGCCAATGTCCGTTTCGGCTTGTTCTAGTTTACAGGTGCCCTACTTATGGGAAATGCGATGAATCACTTTGAAAGATTACTTCGTAAATCAACTCGACTTTATTTATTTTTTTCAAATAGTTTTTCTGGTCAAACAATATCAAGTGAATCATTAATACTTCTAACAATTCAATTAAATATTCTTCAATTAATAATAAATTTAACTATAAATTCTGATCGAATTATTCTTGCTACAATGTTATTAAATGATACTAAACAGACATTATCAATAGCATGAGAAATGATTGTCTTTTTTTTTGTTTTGTGTGTTGTTATAGTAATTATTTTCAATTTAATTATTAATGATTTTTTATTTTTTGACAAGTGTGCAATAATTTGAAAATAAAAGTTGGTGTTACTAAACGGTGACTATATGAAATTTAATTATAAAAACGAATATTGTGTTTTTTAAAACGTGGAAAGAGTATTTATCATATAAAAAAGTATGTAAAAATGAAAAACGTAAAGTTGAAAAAAAGGCAAATGAAGGTCGAGATGAATATGGTCTGAAAAAAACAGATATTTATTAGTTTGTTTTTTCTTTTGATTATATTTAATTGATTTTCTTTTTAACAAGAAGTATTAAAAGAAACGGAATCAATGATTTCACATACAAAAAGTAGTTTTATTAAATCGTGGAAAGAATTTCAAGATGTTTATGTAAAATAATTTATTTTTAATTAAAATTTTTTTGCCTCTTCTTTTTTTCTAGAATACAGCAAATAATGATGCTACATTAAAACAATCAAAAGAATATATGATGAAGCACAAAACAGTTATGATGAACTTAATAAAGCTCATTAAGAAGATCGTCTTGTACAAGCATAAATTACTCCATTTTATTAAAACACAGTTTTAACTGTGATGTTTCTTTTATACATTTCACATCTCACTAAATGAGTTTAATAATAACACACACTCACTTTTAGCAAATCAATAAAACTTTTCTATTATGAATATTTTCTTTGCCCAAATAATCATTTTAGATTTTTATTTCTATAATCTTTTTCATCTATTTGCAAAATGGAACAAGCATTAAATGATTTATCAACTATCTCAAACGATCAATTGTAAGTTTGCAAAAGATTGCTCATAAATGTCACGAATACTTCTGCTTGCTTTTGCCCTTTTTCAGGAATAATCGCGTAGGCATTCTTTTTTCCATGCATTTTGCTCATATGCACGAAATTCAAAAAATTCACTACGTTAAAAAAAATATGCATGAACTTTTGAATATTTTTCTCCCATAGCCTTTAGGCGTATCGATAAGACGTTTTCTATCTATTTCCTCTATGGCATCAAACAGACTAAAACAATCAAAACAGAATTAGTCAATAGAATTGGTACAAAAGCTAAAACAGAGTTAATCCATCTTTTTGAAATAACTTAACTCTGAGTGAACTTTAATGTGCTAATGATACAATAGCTTGATTAAACAATGGAATATATGTATATATATATGAGTAGATAGATGAATGAAAATGATGTCGCTCGAGAGAACTATTTATTATAAAACAGTACACTACATTTTTTTAGTCTTCTCTAGATTATGAGTTTCAAAGGCAGTTCTAGTCCAGCATAAAATAATAAAGTTGTTTAATGCTCGAAAATATAATGTATTCATTGATTTTCACCACATTATATAGGATATTCTGAATTTGAATTAGCAGATTAGCTGTTATATATGCCAGAGTACTGAATTAAAACAAAATTTAATTTAATTCATTTCTCTAATGTGTTTGAGGTCTTACCAAATCAATAGCCATTTTTTTGTAAGAGAAAAAAAATAATGTAATAGATGTGTGCATAGCTGTACATCCTAAAACCTTTTATACATTTCTATTCTCTTTCACAAAACAATGAACTTCACTCTCTCTATGTTAATTGGTGAAATAGGTGAAAGAAAGAGCGAGAAAAAAAGAGAAGCAAAAAAAAAAAACGTCTCCGCGAACGAATGTTGTTCAAGATGCACTTGTGTTCTAAGTCTGAAACACACTGGAGATGTGAATAAAATTTAATTTTTTTTTATATCAGTTTGTTATGTGCCGTAAGATTGATTCACATATAGAAAAAAAAGAAAAGATACAATAACTCAAAACTAAAACATGTAGTAATTATTGTATCTCTTTTTTTCTATATGTGAATCAATGTTACGGCACATAACAAACTGATATAAAAAAAATCAAATTTTATTCACGTATCTAGTGTGTTTCAGACATAGAACACAAGTGCATCTTGAACAACGTTCGTCCGCGAAGACGTTTTTTTTTTATTTCTCTTTTTTTCATGCTCTCTCTTTCACCTATTTCACCAATTAACATAGAGAGAGAGAGAAATTGATTGGTTTGTGAAAGAGAATAGAAATGTATAAAAGGTTTAGGATGTACAGCTATTCACACATTCATTATATTGTTTTTTTTTCTCTTACAAAAAAATGGCTATTGATTTGGTAAGACTTCAAACACATTAGAGAAATGAATTAAATTTTATTTTATTTTAATTCAATACTCTGGCATATATAACAGCTAATCCGCTAATTCAAATTCAGAATATCTTATATAATGTAGTGAAAATCAATAAATACATTATATTTCCGAACATTAAACGACTTTGTTATTTTATACCTGTCTAGAACTGCTTTTGAAACTCATAATCTAGGGAAGACTAAAAAAAATTAGTGTGCTTATTCTGCACGTATAGCTAAAAAGAAAAAGAAAAAAGTGTTATGCATGTTGATAATTTTTCATAATTATATGATTTAATATATTCATATTTAGATCATTGTTTATCAACGTGAAATTGATCGATTAACAACAAGAATCAATGAATTAAAAGTATTTTATATGGCTAATCAAATAACAGCTGCACAAACAATTGAATTATCACAAGCTGCTGGACAAAAACTTTTGGCACAATTCGAATTAGATAAATTAAATGCTGGTAAACCCATTTTCAATTATCCTCACGGACTCTCACCCTCTTCCTTTTAGAAGGTCAACGTCGTAATAATGCAAATCCAACAACAGCAACTGGCAGTAATTAACTATTGATGGAATTATTGTCTATTGTCTGTTGTCCGTTGTCTGTCGTCCGTTGTCTTTTGTTTATTGTCTATTGCCTGTTTTCTGTCCTTTTGGTTTGTTGTTTTATCCTTCTTTTCTTTTTGTTCTTTTCTGATTGACAGGTTCTTCTTATTCTATTAAAAGATCCAAAAAAAAAAATTTTTCAAAATTATCTTTTATTTTACCTCGAAGTGATATTCGATCAGTTTCGATCATATAAGATAATATCCATATACAATAAATTAATTTTCGAATATTATTTACTAAATAAAAAGAAATATATGTCGCAGGAGAAATTATCATCAAATACTCTATTAATGAATGATTACCAACAATAGGTGACATTCCTATTGGCAGTTGATATATATGATATTATTGATGTAGATTTTCTATGTAACAAAAAGCTTATTGAAATGTTTGAGGAAAAAAAAAACAAAATGAGAAAGATTTTTAAAAGTAAACATGCATTATAATAGTTTGCATATCTCATTATTATTATAATGTGAGAACATAATAAATAATTGTAAATACTAATGAAATTGTAACTTTATTTTCTTTCTAAAAGTCCTATAATAAATGATGGATATTAAAATAATAGAATAACTTGAAGTGAGGAACGATAATAGATAAATATTTTGAAAATGATGTTATAAATAATTATGTCTTATTCGAGTAATAGAAAAATTACACAAGGTAACGTTCGATTTATTATAATTAAAGAATGATGAAAAGTAAATTTAACAATTTTTTTCGTCTCATTTGGAAAAAATTGTTTCTCTCGACATAGTCAATCACACTTTCTACATGCATAGAATGTATTTTCCACGGCCTAATCATCAATCCTGATAAATTATTATTATATCTCTTTAGTTGACTGTTTTGTTTGAAATTGAATTATTATATGAAAATAATGTTTTTCGTTTTAAACGCTAATTTAGTTTTTTTCGAACAAATTTTTAATACACCAAACAAGAAAAAATAAAAATAGATCTGAATAAATGTGTATGCAAATATAAACCTTTGGCTTTATGATAAAGAATGGCACACAGTCAAAAAAAATGATAATTATGTTTTAGAAGTTCTATTTAATGTTTTTGTTTCCATATATATTGAAATATGTTTCTCATAACTTGTTATTTTTTAACACTCGTTCTTTCATTATCAGTTGAGCTGTCATTAGAATTTTCTTCATCATCCTCAATTCTACTATTGGCTGTTCGTTTTCATTTAGTACTCGTATTAATTTCATCAACATTTCGACCTTGTCTTCATAATGTGTGCGATCGTCTTTTACATGTCCTTTAAAAAAATAAAGATCATTTTATAAAATAAAACAAATTAACCTTGAACATTAATAGTATTTGCTTGTATTTCAATTAATTCTTTCCCAGTATCACGTTTTTACGAAACTTTTACACATTCTTTATTTAATAAACTACCTAAATTAAAAATATTTTTATTAAAAAAAACTAATTTAAGACAATCAATTTTGGCTTTATTCAATTAAAATTATTCTAATTCAGTTTTTTTTCGTAACACATTGAATACTATATATTCGAAATTATTCTTTTAAATATTCAATATATGCTTATATGCAATCACTATTGTTTTTGTGTTGATTTTTTTGTATCATCATTTGTTGTCCTTTGTTCATCTTTATCTTGATTTGTTGATGAATTTTTTTAAAGTTCACTTTTTTATTATTTGAATTTATCGTCTGATATGATTGAGATTGTATGAACTCATAATTTATTTACAAGGCTACTTTAGTGAGATTGATGAAAGTTCAAAAACGATCTGCATCTATACTATACTCTTTTTCTGAATTTTGACTCTTCAACTGCAACCAAACGATTAAATAAAGTAATTTTGCTACGAATAGATATGATTGTTATTATATTTTAGACGTTTATATTCCAATAACGTTTCGAAAAATATTTTCATTCTATGTGAAGAAAAATCACAAGATTTTATACTCTGTACTGTAAACTTTTTCTCACTCAGTTTCATGGATTTCATTTTACTTATAAAGAAATCTATGATACAATGCTGCAAATTTGATAAAATAATTTGTATGAATACACGAATATAACAGACTTGTATGGAAGAAGAAGAATCGTTTTTTATACCAACACACAAAAATCAAAATAAACGTGTCAGAGCTGCACAAGTATGAGTGCATCTTGTATTATTCTGTTTCATCTACTATTCCACCTACGTGTCACTCTATTGACATATATAATCTCAAGAAACCTACAATACTAAAATTCATGTATTATGTATTATGTAATATGTATTGTATATGGATCCACATATAGCCCCCAAAACCTAGATTTCTAGAATACATATATGATGTATTTTGTATTATAATTATATTTTCGTTTTAACGAATGGATACACGCTGAAAATCTGAAGTGGTAGGGTGAATTATTTTTGTATTTATCATTATGTATTGTTTTAATAGAGCATCTCCCTTGATTTTATACTGTTTCGCTAGTGTATGTTGAAGACATGGGTTTATATACTGAACCTTTTTGTCGGTAACTCAAAATCTGATTAGGTTCGAGAAGAATATCGAGAAGGGTGCTTTCTGATTTATGGTTTTATCTTTTACGTGCCTTTTGTTTTCATTTCTATCGAGCGAGTATTATCATTATTTATACATTGATAAGCAATGCACCGTGGTACCGTTATCATAATCGGTAACTGTACCATACGAAGCTGCTATGATGCCAACAAAAATCTTGAAAAAGAATAAGATCACAAATCTCATCTTAGCAACTAGATTTAAGTGAGCTGAATTTCAGTTGAATTAATCTGTATTTTCAATTAGGAAATTGAGTATGTACTTTTCTTGCCACAAATCATATTAACACAATCGTTTCAGGATTACTCTGAAACATGAAAATTCAGATCTAAAAAATATCTCACTTCCGACGAAAAAAAAACATCAGATGATGCCGACATTACAGTTTTATTAAACTATATCGATGAAGTGAAGGCAATGTCACAGATATAGTAATGAATGGAGAGAACGCATCAGGCAACTCATAAATAAAAAAACGAACAGTTATGAACAAAGGACGATGAGAATACAAAAAAGATAGCTCATACTTCACTCACAATGACAGCATTATCCCTCTCGTTGGTCTGCATGTTTATCTTCAAAGGTGGATATGGTACAGGTGCGTCTTTGTTTTTTCAGTCATACCTACACCCACACCATTTTCCAGTATTTTATTATAGATTCCGACATTCTTTTTAAGATAAAATAGAAATCATGAAGCCAATGTTGAAGATCAAGATGAGATCTAGCTGAGGATGAGGGCTAATTTCACTGTGCCATAATTTTCTTTTGACACAGTCAGACTATATTATTTACTATCTAAAGACACATCTGATGATGTGAACCAATGCCAGAAACATAAATCTTTGTATAAGAGTTTCGAATACTTATATCATTCATAGAAAGCCAATATCACTACAATAAATAGATGTTTACAAGATAATACAGTTCTCTTATACCTAATGCATAATTTTTTTTCAATTAAATATTTCCTTTCTATAGCCAAAATGAAATCTTATTTTGAAAAATTCATTCAAAAACAAAAAAAGAATATTGTGAGCATATTGCACACTTTATTTTATCTGTGAAATACATAAAAACAACTGTTTGAAGAATTACATTGAAGCATAACAATCACCAATATAGAAGCTTAATAAACAAAAACATCGTGTCTTCAGTTTTGAGCAATAAACGAAAAAAAGAAAAAGGAAAACAATCAAGAAAAACTCACAATACATATCACAAAAAAGAAGCAACAAAAACAAAAATGATTAAGTAATAGAAATTTTGTGTCCATTCTTTTTGTTAAATAATCAATTATTTTATTCTGACTTTGGTTTCGTAAAACGTATTAATGTTTCTGGTGATCGGTATAAAAATACAAGTTTAGCAAA